TTTTGTTTTCAAGTTATGAATTTCGAGAGATACACACAATAACAGATGGCGATGGCAGAAAATAGATTCTAGGCATGTAGACAAACTCTTTGAAAAATGACTATTCAATTCACAACGTGTTATGAATTTCGTGTAAACGCTCCAGTTTGTTGAGGGCGTTGTTTATGATGTGTATATGAACATGGTCGGGGAACACTTGCTGTCAAATATTTCAGTGATAAAGCTAGATTGGATTTTATTCTGATATTGTCTTAAACTCAGTTAAACGATTTTGCAGCATACATGGTCTGTCACATCAGGAACGGCTAAGTGCAATTTTGACGTTGGAAGTTGAAACAAGACAGAGTATTGTGACACGAACTGTCAACGTTTCAGAGTCAGTACATAGCAGATTACAATCACGATATCCACAATCAGGCTGGTCGACCCAGGGCGACAACAGGCGCACAAGACCGGTTCATCAGAAACGTGGTTACAAAACCGTGGTCAAGGTGCCTCTCGAATTGGAGATGAGCTTCACAGAGATAATGGTGTTGGAGTGAAACAGACAATTTGTCATCGGCTACAAAGATGGCATCAACATGTACGGCGTCCACATGTTATCGCAACATTACTACAAGACGTCGTTTGTATCAAGAGCGGCAGCGTCTGACCAGTAGTCGTTGGGCAAACGTTATGTTTTCGGATAAATAAAAGTTTACTTTGGAATTCCTTAACAGGCGCAACAGATGTGCCACATACGGTAGGAGAGTTTACCTGCCGTTGGCGTAAGACAGAACTATGGTATTATGGATGAATGTGACTTTTCGTGGTAAATTACGCGATCGACTGTAGGGTGCTTTGGCCAATCACCTAGCAAAATATAAAACATCGAGAATTATGACACCTATTTTCTTGAATACCCCTAAGTTGTTCGTATAGTGTATAGACTTTCTTTCAACATGGCATCATATCTAATACAACAATGCGTGAACATATAGAATCCATTGTGCTCCGCCTGAATATATTCGTGCTGCTTAGGAATCGTCTAATAATATACCATTTGCATGATATACACATTGAATAAAGCATCGCTACACCTATGTGTTTTAATCCCCATATAGCCACTTATATTTATATCATACGAGGGGCATTCAAAACGTAGTCAGCCTCACCTAGAACACGATAAAAATGCAGCTGTTTTTATGCTATATTTTCTACATATTATCTGTTAACTTCAAGCAAAATGGTTTTGCTATGTTCCAGCCCCACGATCCCCATTTTATTTGACTTTTTTTCTATATTGGGACCCCCACCAAAAGTAAATTCTGCAATTCTGCATCACAAACAACAAACATAAGGGACAAGGAAACAAAATATGCAAGAAACAGTTTGTGTGTTTGAGATTGGCGGGAGTCTGCTAGAATCAAACTTAATATTAAAGTGCATAAAAAAGCAATTCGAAACTGCAATCGCTTGTTAAAGTGACACCCCCCCCCCCCCTTTCATGTTTACTGGGGCGGTGGGGTAGCCTAGGGGTTAAAGCGTTGGCTCGTCACGCCGAAGATCCGGGTTCGAATCCCCACATGGGTACAATGTGTGAACCCATTTCTGGTGTCCCCTGCCGTGATGTTGCTGGAATATTGCTAAAAGCGGCGTAAAACCAAACTCAGTCAGTCAGTCAGTCATGTTTACTGAAAGAACTTGTTTTGGGGACACTGCCCACCACCTTTTCAGATGACGTTATCATAAGGACATAACTTAATCTAATGTTTTCACTTATTCATATATGGTGCCAAGGGTTCAGACTAAATACTGAATAGTCCCACAAGTGTCAGCTCACAAAATATTGTTAACAGGGCCAGCTTGAATATCTGGACACAATGCTTTTGAAAGATTAAAATAGGGGGTGTCCTTATAAAAGCACAACCAGTCTAAATATAGATCAAGCAATCCAAATCCTTGAATGTTGATCATGACGGGAAGTCACCCAATACTATACTGAACATATTTTATGTGATATTATCTGAATGTTGAATCTTTTACAATGGCCAGATGATAATGTTGAAATTAGCTATGTTGGTATGACACCAAACTCGCTAAGTAGGGTCAAAATAGCATATTAACAATGACTTTACAGACAATTTACAGTTTTACTCACAAAGGGACAAGTCCTTGTGAATGTTGTACTTCTATAAAGTTGATAATGCCTGGTCATTGTTGAACAGTGTTCGAAATAGCTACTGGTCCGCTAGCCAAATACTGGCTGATTGTGAATCGGGCCAGTAATATATTCAATTTGTTAAAGCTATCACGACTGGTTACCTGAAAATCTCAGATAATTTGTTCTTTATTTAATGCACATGAATATGATGAAGTCAATTATTAAGGTGTTGAAAGTCCGTCCGCAAACGTTACATGACATATATCATCTATTGTCCCACGAATATCGCTAAAGAGGTTGCGCAATAGAGGTTGTGGATCATTACAATGCAATTGTAACATTTAACGTGATTGGCCAAGGCTCTACCAGTATCCGATCAGCATCGCTGTTGTTTGACAATAACTTACCATCTACAATTAACCTAGGTAGCGCACGTGCTGTGCGAAGCCGCACTAACTACATTTGGTGCCCGAAACACGACTAAAAATAACCCAGCTCAGAAACAAAAAAGAGATAAACCCTGGTTTAATAAAGAATGTAGATATAAAAGAAAACTGTACCTGAAGGCTAAGAAACGTTAATGTAAAAATAGAAGTAAAAGTAATCAATTAAGCTTCAGAAATAGTGAAAAAAACTATAAAAGATGTACTAATAAATGCATTAAGAAATTTAAGAATAAAACTAGTAAATTAATCAGAACACAGCAAATACACTCCCCGAAACAGTTCTGGAGTGACCTAAAGACAGATGATGACGTAGATATACAATCCCCAAGCCCTAGTACCCAAGAATATACCGATTTCTTTAAATTGTTAAATAAATGTAGCCCATTTGACACCACTGACTTGGAAGAATTGCCCTCAGCTATGTTCGATAATGAACCCTTAAATAGGAATATAAAACTTGAAGAAATTAGCCATGCAATTAAAAGCCTTAAACGAAATAAAAGCAGTGGGATAGACTTAATTGAAAATGACTACTTGATAGGCACGTTTGATGTTATGGGAGGATTTTATGTATCTTACTTCAATCTGATCCTGTCGTCAGGAGTTATCCCCGAGTCATGCCTCACGGGAGTAATTATACCAATATATAAAAGAAAGGGAGACCCATTAAACCCCAACTCATACCACCCTATTACCATACTTAGCTGTTTCGGGAAATTATTTACATGCATTCTTAATAAAAGGTTGAACATATTTTTAGAATCAAATAACATTTTGTCAAGTGCACAAGCGGGATTCCGACAAAGATTTTCGACGGTAGACAATATATTCGCACTTCATATATTGTGTAATATGCTTAAAACTAGTAAAAAGAAATTGTATTGTACATTTATAGATTTTACGAAAGCCTTTGACAACGTGTGGCGAATTGGACTATGGCATAAAATGTTATCGTACAATATAGATGGTAAATTTCTAAACCTAGTTAAAAATATGTACAATAACATTAAATCATGTGTTCTTGTAAATAAGTCATATTCTAATTTCTTCTTTAGCCATAACGGTGTATGACAAGGTGAGAACCTCTCACCATTACTATTATCAATTTTTATAAACGATTTAGAAACTTTTCTTGTTAATGAAGGTTGCAGTGGTGTGGAAATAAGCGGTTATGACGAGAACAACACCATATTGTATATGAAATTATTTATTCTCTTATACGCAGATGATACCGTTCTTTTAAGTGAAAACCCAAGAGAACTCCAAGAATCCATCGATAGGTTTTACGATTACTGTGGAAAATGGAAGGTCAATGTAAATATTTCGAAAACTAAAGTTGTAATATTTGGAGCGGGCCCAGCACGTAACTCCAAACATTCTTTTATCTTTGAACACTAAATAACTGAAATATGTGATGGCTACATATATCTTGGAATCCACTTTCATAGAAATGGACGGATGATAACTGCTATTAAAGAACTCGCTAATAGAGCAACTAAAGCCATGTTTTCACTCTTGAAGAGAGCCCGAAATTTATATTTGCCGATAGATAAACTTTTGAAAGCATTTGATACATTAATTTTACCGATTCTCAACTATGGATGTGAAGTTTGGGGTTACGAAAATCTACAAATTGTAGAAAAGATACACCTAACATTTCTGAAATATGCTACTGGACTCCATTCTTCTACTCCAAGCTTCATAGTATATGGAGAATTAGGCAGATTACCTATAGAAATATATATCTATGTAAGAATGATAAGATACTGGCATCAGCGTGAAACTATTAGTACTCCACTAAAGCTATCACAACAAATATATCGTTCCATGAGATATCAATGCTACTATAATGGCACTGTTCTACGTTGGTTAAAACATATCAAGCAAATTCTCGATACCTCTGGATTATCTTACTTACTTGAAGACCCGTTCACCTGTACAACGAAATATATTTCTTTTACTGTTGAAAACGTACTAAAAGATCAGTTTTTACAAAGGTGGCAATGTGACATCAGAAGCAGTCCCAAAAGATTTTATTATCGTGTCCTGAAAGATTCCCCCATCATTTGAAAAATACCTTTTATTACCAAAAGAAATATCTTATCCCTTGCTATTATTTAGAACAATTAATCATCATCTCCCAATTGAAACTGGGCGTTGGAAACGCATCCCGCAAAATGATAGAACCTGCCATCTCTGTAACTCACCTTCAACAGCTGATGAATTCCATTATCTATTTAGATGTTCTGCCTTCACTCAAACTAGACGTCACTATTTGGAACCATATTATTGTACGTTCTCTAACTTGTATAAGATGAAATCATTGTTCGCATCCAACAAACTGTCTATTCTTAAGAAATTATCAAAGTTATATCTATTATCAATAACCATGTTAAAGCTACGCAAAAAACTGTAAATTATGCAACGATCTTCCAACAATGCAATGCAATTTATGTATACTATATATCCTATGCTCTTGTTCCACCGTGGGTGGTTAAAAGAGAATAAAGATTGATTGATTGATTGAAGATCGTTGCTTCGTTGGAAGCATGGCGCGAACTTCAGGATTGCAGGACAGGACCGTCTGGGCAAAAATCTGGCCTGGTTGTCTGGTTTTGGCAGCTTGGTCTCTCATGGCATTGCGAATTATGGTTAGGGCTACTTGGTTGTTGTCTGGTGCATGATTGTGTGCAATACCAAGCTAAGGACACTCTTGTCAAGATTGGTAATCAAGCTGCCTCTGCATTTTGTGCTGGATCGCTTGGTGCACTTCCACCAGATTTTCTTATTCCTTGAGGAATGCTTCGAATACAAATATTCTTCATAACTCACTTTCAAACCTCCCTTACTTGTGGTCAGTATCTCCATCTTGGATAACTGAACTCCCAGTCCAGCTTGTATCATATATTAGCTTCTGGAAGGAATCCATTTGAGTAAAAGAATTAACCGATAATTCCATGAGTTCATTAATCGGTGTGATATCGTCAAGCTCAAAGCAAATTAAACCAACAATCATATGACATGTGACTATAAATCCCATAATCCTTTAAGAATTAAACAAAATTATTAATAATAAGTTCATTTCTCCTGTGTTAATAAGATCCAATTGTTACTTACAGCATCACACTGAAAGGAATAATTAACTTGACAGTGAAATAGTATCAACAAAGTAAATAGATACCAGGATGTTTTTATAACAGTAGTTGTTGAATTAGTTTTTTGCAAATAACTTGAGAACAGGATGTTTTTATTATTGACGCTGAAAGTGAAATATATCAAATACAGTATAAACAACTGGAGAACAGGATGTTTTATAATAGTTATTTTTCCATGACTTTTTTAGCTATGACCTTTTTCCGTCCACCAATCACATATGGTAACCGACAGCATCTGGGTAGTAGTATATATCCAGTTAAACGACCATTGATAAGTCTAGCATTATTCACAAAATATCCAGTCATATCTCATATCCGGAATAACCTGGAATCCAATACCTTCATGCATCTTAATAGATGGTATATTTTCACGCTGTATCATGACAAGCACCTCCTTCCTCTTTTCCAGATGCTTCTGAACGAGATGAGACATGGCGACCTTTCCGTACCCCTTTCCTCTGTGGTTTTGGGGCACGTACAGTACCCCCAGACACCCGTAGTGATAGGTAAGGGCGTATCCCATCACCTCCCCCTCCTGATTGTATAAACAGGTGGAAGGAAGTGTGGTTATCAGATGTCTAATGTAATCCTTAGACACGTCTCCATTGCGTAAGTCCCACGTGGAATCTACCAGAGCAGTATGATCAGCCTCCAGGTTGGACATGACACATCCCTCAGGAACAGGCCTTTGTGAACAATAATAATGAATTTAAGATATGTAAACATATTGAAGACATTACCTTATATAATATCGACCAATTTATCTGTAAAGCGTCAAACTGAAGACATGAACATTGTTTACAATAAGGAAGAGAGATTTTTGGTTGTTTTCTTTAAGATCAGGAACGCAATGTAAAACTTGAATGAATGATGAAGGAGTAAGTATATACTCCAAAACGTTGTGAATGAATGATGAAGGAGTAAGTATATACTCCCAAACGTTGTGAATGAATGATGAAGGAGTAAGTATATACTCCAAAACGTAGTGAATGAATGATGAAGGAGTAAGTATATAATCCAAAACGTAGTGAATGAATGATGAAGGAGTAAGTATATACTCCAAAACGTTGTGTTCCTCATAGTAAAGAAGTTGACATCCAAACAATTCTTTTTCTTATGTTATCACTTCTCCATGCCATTTAAAGACATGATCGTTTACTACGTCAAGATGTTGTCAACACGTTTTAATACGTTTTGTTTATATGCAAAACCAAGGTAACGATATGTGTACTGAGTCTAAATGATCTATGGTATGAATGTACCGGAGCTTCAGTGTATCTTGCGTGACAATCAGGTAGACACAGTCATATATCTCCCTTGTGAGAGTCCTGTGAAGTTGAGCTACTTCTGTCAAAACTGGTGTTAGGGTACTGTCGGCACCTGAAACAGTTAGGGAAAGCATCATATGTTTGGGAAAGGATTACATTGAGAGGAAGGATTGCATGTGAGAGAAAGGATTACATGTGACAGGAATGATTCAAGGAAATACAGGATTACATGTGAGAGAACAGGATTACATATGAGAGGAAGGATTATATACAACAGGAAGAATTCAAGGGAACAAAGGATTATATGTCACAGAAAATGATGACATGTGTGTAAAAGGATTACATGTGCGAGAAAGGATCACGAATTAGAGGAAGGATTGCATGTGAGAAGAAGGATTGCATGTGAGAGAAAGGATTACGTGTGAAAGGATTACTTGTGAGAGGAAGAATTCAAGGAAACAAAGGATTGCATGTGGGAGAAAGGATTACATGTGAGAGAAAGGATTACATATGAGAGGAAGAATTTAAGGAAAGAAAAGATTACATCTGAGAGAAAAGACATGAAGTGTCACATACACAATAATGGCGACTGCATGTCGTTGATCTGTGATCGCATTTATAAAACAAAATAGTGGAAACGAACTAAGTAACATGGTAATTCTGTTCTTCCGCAAGCACACTTAAAATTAGTAATTTTATTGTGGGTTTTCAAGTACCAAAGCAACCAGGCAGTTATCAGCCCGCCATAGTTTAGCAAATGCAGCTCGTCAGTGATACTGGTCTGTAAATTGAAGGGTCTCATCCGTTACCCGTGTTAAGTAGTTAAAACAACCATAGGGTCACACAACAAAGGAGAAAATGTCCCTGACGTTAAGTTTCATCAAATATATGTGTTTCAGTGCACAGAGACAAAATCCTGAGCTGGTCCCCATGTCAATTCTCCCTTACCCAAGAGACATCAGTGTGATGATACTTTTCACGACTGGAGTGAGTGAGTGAGTTAGCTTTACGCCGCTTTTAGCAATATCCCAGAAATATCACGACAGGGGACACCATAAATGGGCTTCACACATTTAACCCAAGTAGGGAATCGAACCCGGGTCTTCAGCGTGACGAGCGAACGCATTAACCACAAGGCTACCCCACCGCCCCTTTTCAGGACTAGAAGACAAGGCAGATGACTACGCTTTGGTGACCGATTATTTCGGTTTCAGTGTTTAAAAACATTGTTTGTATATCAAGGTATTAGTAGTTTTGGTTGACCCACATGAACAGGACAAATCTTGATCAGAACAAGTTCTATGCATCGCCGTTCCATATTAAATCTCAATCGTGCACAACTTTCAATAGTTATACTGCAATGAAAACGTCTTGTCTTGCAAATGCAAACACCAGCCCCATGACCACCTGAGTGGACTTGGACACATAAACCGTCACTCCAATTGTAAAGTAACCAACTTCATTGACTTTGGAGATAGCTGATAATGAAAATGAAATGTGAAAAGGTAAGTTTGAGTGTTAGAACTTTGATCCGGTGTTTTTGTTTTGGGTAAACCGCTTAACTGCGAGCCACTATCATGTTTAGCAGGGAATGCCTTCACTGGAAGTCAGTGACTTGTGTGCAGCAACATCCTTTAATTAACAGAGAGACTGTATCCCTTACATTCAAACCGTTTTTCCAGTTGCTCTAGCAGGTCTCTCAACGCATCGACGTAAGTGGCGTAAAGGTCCACAATCGGCCGCAGATACTTCAACTGTCAGAGTGGACATGTACGTTAATTCCACTGACCGCTACATCTTGCCATTTATCCAACAGGAAGTATCAGTGACTTTGTCATGTATTATATTATGTTTTTTTGGTGTGTAAATATACCAAAACCGTTGTATTGTGAGAAATAATTAAAAAATCAACTCCGAATTTTAAATGTCTTACACATTACCATTATGTTACTAGTCTTTCAGATTTCTTTTTAACAAAACCCCTCAGTTCACAAAGAAATCTCTCAATAATGAGCGAGTGAGTAAATATTGCTTAGCGCCGTATCGGCAATGTTGCAACTTTTCGCGGCGACGCTCAATAATGAAACGAAAGCCCTAACGCATCATAAACGTCGGACCAGTTTACTGATATTCCACTTGAATGAGTATTTTTGTTCTAAATGTGTCAGTGGTAATAGAGCATTCTAAATATCTGTTTTCCGTCTGACTGGAGGGGACATAGTAGTCCAGGAGGAGAATCTCAAAAGGGGCCTAGAAATAGGATTTCGTAGCCTCCCCCGTACTGATTTTGTTTGACACTATTTCAGTTAGTATGATGTCTTGGGCTTATGAAAAGGCCTTTGATACTTTCAGATTGTGGTATCATTTTTTATAGGCCATTATATGTGGTCGGGGTCTGCGAGCATTTTCGTCACAGTTGGTTTGCTGCCCGACAACACCTCAAAGTTAATCATTGATAGTTTTACTACTATCAATCTGATCACTTTCATTCTGACTTCTGTTTACTGCTAAAGGATGTATAAAGTATTTGACATAATTTTGTTTTGAAAACAAATCAAAATGTCAACATGCCGTCACTCTAGAAGTAAAGAGAAAACAAAAACAACTTGTTTTAGTAACAAAAATAATGTTAACTGCCATTAAATAAATCATCCTCACACACTTCCATGATGATCGCTAAAATACCCCTGTCTCAAAGAATTAGCTGTAAAACATTAAATTACGACGACATGACCATACAAAATAACTTGTTATGTGCCCAAGCCATCACTCTAGGAGAAACAAGTGTCAAAACACATCAAAAGTATCAACTTTGGATGTAAATGGAAACATTCGGTGTTCATTTTTATGTAAATTTAAGTGCTGAGAAGGCAAAACATGACAAAACAAAATGGCGGCCATTTTCATTGTTTTTCAAAACAAAATTATACAAATACTTTATACATCCTTTAGCAGTACACAGAAGTCAAACGGAAAGTGATCAGATTGATAGTAGTAAAACTATTAATGATTAACTTTGAGGTGTTGTCGGGCAACAAACCAACTGTGACGGAAATGATCGCAGACCCCGACCACATATAATGGCCTATAAAAAATGATACCACAATCTGAGAGTATTACAGGCCTTTTCATGAGCTCAAGACATTATACTAACTGAAAATAGTGCCAAACAAAATCAGTACGGGGGAGGCTATGATTTGCAATTTTTCAGCTGCCCCCTCCTGGACTATAGGAGTTCATGGGTAATAGTATTCTTGTATTGGATTTAATTATCAGAACTTTGGTGTATGTATTCCACACATTCTTGTTATGGGGTTAGTTCTTTGGTTTTATTTTTGCCCAAATCCCTAAAACGTGTCAAACAGTTTGTCATAATAATTTAATTGAGTGAGTTTGGCTTTACGCATTCAGCAATATTCCAGCAATATCACATTGTACCCATGTGGGGAATCGAACCCGAGCCTTCAGCGTGACGAGCGGACGCTAAACCATAAGGCTACTCCAGCGCTTCCAGTAATTAGAAGGGGCGGTGGGGTAGCCTAGTGGTTAAAGCGTTGGTTTGTCACGCCGAAGACCCGGGTTCGAATCCCCACATGGGTACAATGTGTGAAGCCCATTTCTGGTGTCCCCCGCCGTGATATTGCTGGAATATTGCTAAAAGCGGCGTAGAGCCAAACTCAGTCAGTCAGTCAGTAATTAGAAGGATTCACTAAAACAGTGTACGTGGCTAAATATTGCCTGCGAAATCTGTTCTGTAGCAAAACAATAACTTCTGAGTGTGTCTCTGTTGATATAACATTCTAGATGCCGTTGTACAAAGCGATCCTATTGCCAAGGTGATCATATATCTCATACCTTATCATAGAACTCCTACAATGGTAGTGCTAAGGCTGTTTCGTACAAGGGCACCTAGTGCCAAGGTGATCACAAATCCCATACCTTAACACAGAACTCATACAATGGTAGCACTAAGGCAATTTCGTACAATGGCACCTAGTGCCAAGGCGATCGTAAATCCCATACCTTAACAGTGTAAAGATATTTTGTTCAAAATAAATTGAACTAAGATTGGTATACAAGCCGTAATGGGTTATTTGAATACCTCTCCATTTCATTGATACATGAATAAAACAAATATTAAATAATATGCAGCATGATAGGAAAGCAAGCAACCTGCGTATTAAACATTATTAATCATTTATCAAACGATTTTATAATAAAAGTATGGACAGATTGTAGTATGAAAGAATTTACAAGTTCATTTTTGTTTGGATAACCATTTAGGACAGAATTTAAATTATATCCACGTTCGTAAAAATACATGCGATGTCTCATGTTAGAATAATTAGGACAAGTAAAGACGTAATGTAAAGTATCCTCATAGGGGTGACCACAGGAACAGAATGGATCAACTGAAATGTGCCGTTCAAACATGTGCGCTTTCAAATTACTGCACCCAAGTCTGAAGCGTGAGTGGATAATTTGGCAGAAACGTGTACCAAAGTATTTATCAAATATATTAAAATTGAGTGGTTTTGATGATTGGAATGCATTTTTGAATTGGCCTATGGTTTCAATATCGTACATATTCTCAGGCAAATCATTCCATTGTCGTATTGTATCTGGTAAAAACGAGTTGCTATACAAATCACTACGACATCTTATAGTTTGAATGTTATTACTGTTTCTTAATCTATGGTCACCTAACTGTGATACTTTTTCGGGCAGTAGATCAGTTAAATAAACTGGTGTCAGAACCATTTTGTAAAATAATGATAACTTGCTAATTTGTCTACGGTCAACTACGGGCATAGAGTTAGTTTCCTTATATATTAAATCATGACTTGTTCCTCTAACTGCCCCGCAAATCGTCCGCAGTGCGTCTAAATGTAGATTTTCGAAAAGTTTTTCATGTTCTTTACTACAGTTATCCCAAAGGTGCCAACAGTAATCGAACGTTGGTAATATATATGACTTGTACATTTGCTCTAATGATTTTCTAGATAATCTATATTTAAAACTACGTAGACAATTTACCAATGGACGAACCTTTTTAAATAATTCACCAATGTGGGAGTTCCATTTACAGTCTGATTGCAAGGTTACT